GGGGGGGGGGGGGGTGAGAAGCAGGGCCTAAGGTGAAATCATATTGAGAGGCCCTTAAATTTATTTTATTAAATATTTACACTAACAACAAAATTTGCTTTTTAAATAACAAATGAATCATTTAAGACAGACAAAAAAAGATATGAAAGAACTGCACAAAAAATAAAGTGGTAGACTATCGGATGTTAAGGTCCATAACTCAAAGTGAAAATTTGATTTGCCTATCATCACAACCAAGAAAAAGAAATAAATGTACACAATGTAATAGTTTAAATGTTGAGCATTGACGGTGTTAAAAATATTTACTCCTTCGGATCAATTTAAGCAATGATTGTTGTTCATTCTATTAAGTAGCACTTATAGATGAATATCTAAAATAAATTGTAAATAACCTAATATAATATGTCGAATTACACTAAAAGAAAATCAGTGCATGAATATTTTTGTGTTCATGCAGTTTCAAAGAACATTGTAAAAGAAAATCATTATGTTGTCAATATATCTAACTTAATTCCTATATAATAAGGACAAATATAAATTGAAGAGTGAAGCAAATATCATAATTAATGAGGGAAGAAAATTATCATAATTTATAAATTTATTGTATAAAATAACCTCAATCAAGTAACAATAAAATATATTGTAACACTTTCCTTTATACTAGTAATTATTTTATTTTTTTGGTAATTATCATATTTTATTACCAAAGTAAGAAATTTCAAGCTCAAAACAAAGCAAACTAAGTCTGGACATTCTCCCAGACTTAATATTCCTCAATGTAACTCCTATTCTTCTTACTGATTATCTATTCACTATTCCCCTTCCACTTATCATTTGTATAGCTTGCTTGATCAGTAGTCCCTCTGGCTTTTGTTTAGCTTGGAAAATTCTGTAGTTCCTCTCCTGCCACACCTGATATACACAGCTTGCTAGTGCTATTCTATAAATTTCAGAGTTTGTTGACGTGCTCTTAGCATTGCTGCATGCCCGGTCTACTTCTTGACTCCATCCCATCGGTTGTCTGGCGATTCCCATCCACTGTAGTATCTTGCTCCATATTCCTGCTGTAAATGAACACTTGAAGAACAGGTGCTCCATACTTTCCTCTTCCACTTTGCACATAGGACATAGTGTTTCATTTATTACACCCCATCTTGCTAGCCTGTCCCTGGTATAAGTGTATTAGGTAATAGCGTATCGAATATAGCTCATATATATATAATATATGTACTTACGCTATATTATGCACTAAGTATAAGTGTATTAGGTAATACCGTATCGAATATAGCTTATATATATATA